AATATATATATATATATATATATATATATATATATATATATATATATATGTATGCAGTTGATTGCATCATTATTATTCTTGGTCTTTGCTTATGTTATTGTGAACACGCACGCAAACAGGGAATAGTTAGCAAGACTACTTATCACATTTAAGGCATAACTTTGCATCACACCTAAACTATATAATGAATTAATCGTTTCAAAGGCAATCGGTTAAGTTTAAAGGATTATATATGCATATATAATTAATTGTTTAAAAAACAAAAACAATTAATTATACAAGTGCAGTACAATTTCTCAGCTTTGACAGTCTTTTTACCACTAACTTTAAATTAAATCTGGATTAATCATATCATTCCTGACCACCTCCTTCCAAGAAAATTTTAAAACCTTGAAATTTTACTTTAAGACTGTTGACGATAGAATAAGGCAAAGCTATGAATTGGTAAAGTAGAACTTTTGTCAAAGAAGAAACATACGGAATATTAGTGCAAAAAATTGGACAACAAAAAAAATGTTTCAATCATGTAAATCAACAAAAATGCTCCATTCGTTCAATTTTTCTGATTTGGATCAGAGGCAAATATTAGTGACAAAGCCAAAATTAGACTCAAAGTCATTCTTGGGATCAAGCACAGATAGTTTTCAAGTCAGTCTTCAGGTTGAGTAATACAAACATACTTCGTTCAAGAAATCCTTCTAAGTAAACTTACAGTAGCAGGTGAAGCGCGTGTTGTATGACCCAACTGAGCTCCAACATCCTCCTCTACAGATCCGGGTGAACCCTGCTGCTGAATGACGTACGTTTGTTGTGTTGGTGAATGTATTGGTTGGTACTAAAGCAAAATAATGATATTAATCTATAAGAAAGCTGCTAAAAAAGTATATTCCAGGTGATTTCTACTATCCGTCGTACACCTAATGGACTAGAATTATGCCATGAAAAAATGAAACAAAAGAAAAAGAAATGAACGAATTTCCATTTCTGTATGATTTCCCACAAAGAATTTTCTTTTTTTTTTTTTTTTTAGAATTATTACATTCCCATCTACTCAGTCGTTATTATCATCAAACACAGGTTAACTTCATCAAAAGATAACATACTGTATCCAATCTTGACTCGCTAAAACAAAAACGGAATTAATCTAATTAGATCGTAAATAGAAATTTCGTAGGGAGAGTTATATTTTCAACATATTGCCCTTGTAATTATAACAAGAAATAAAATTCGTTCACTGGATTACACTGGTTCTCTTGTCCAACATTTAGTGGTAGTTGTCATAATGGTTGTTTAATGCTTATCTCATCATCATCATATTTGGTTATACATTGTGAAGATAATAAATCAGAATTGAAAAGATAGATTAGAATAGCAAAAATAAGTAGATTCCATGTGTAATAGTGTCAGAAAAATATTAACAAAAAAACATAAAAAAGAGGATAACAAACCTGATAATATGGCGGATATTCGGTCGTATACACATAAGTAGCATTCCTGCAAGATACCATTTCTTGGGAGTAAAATAAAAGAATATGGAAAGTTTGAAGCAGAAAAATGAACCAAGCACTATGATTTGGAACAATGAGATATGAGTGGGAAGAATGTTGTAACAGCAAATGATAGGCAAAAATTATATGATGGATAATGTTGGAAGGAAAAGTAGAGAGACAGAAAGAGAGAGAGGAAAAGATTTCAAGCTTTTCATGGTATATTTCTCAGGTTATATTATATTACAGCTTTCTAAAACCTACCTCCTAGTCTATCCCAATTATTATCCGTCCTCTCAATAATTCTTCCTCATCTTTCGTTCTCCTTCCGGTACTGAAAAATAAATGCCCTATGGGATTTGACTACAACCATAAGGAATGATTATGTACACTGTGTTATAGATCATGCTTGAAATGGTTTATGCATATATACCACTCCTTCGCTCTTCCGCACCTTTTTCTGAATGCTTCCGGAAATGGTGCATTTTATCCGGAACACCCCTCTCCTATGTTCTTACTCAGTTACATAGAAGTCTACATATCAGAATGGAAACGATTTTAAATATTAAACCATATTATGTAAATTATTTTGGGAAAACTGTAGCCAAAAAAAATACTTGCTCTAAATTACAGCATGTGACTTTATGTAAATTACCTTAAAATGGAACAAAATATTATGTCATAAGGATATGATGTAAATTATCGCGGAAAAAACTTTCTGAGCCTGAATTATTCAATGAAATATTATAATATTACGAAGCGAGCACACCATGTGTTTTTTTCCCCTTTCCTTCCTCATTATTTCGATGTACCATTAAATTACGCTAATTAAGCACGCATATTAAGCACTGCTTTGGCTATAAATCCAAATCCAGTATCATACGTAAGAATTTTATTTTATGAAAAAAGTATAAAGAAATTTACAGCAAAGATTGAGAGATGGATAAGAAAAAGATGTCATGCTTTTATGTAAAGTGGATATCGTTGACGTGACACTCACCAAATGCGAGAAGAATATCATGCCATAGATGACAAATTGATTAGGTTAAATTTCGATATATTGAAAATTTCCGAAAATACCCCTTTCATCTTTGAATTGATATACGGTAGCACTTGTGTCATTTGGCAGTCAATCAAACGTCGTACTTGAACTTATGCAAAACAGCTGATCTTATGGATGAAAGTTTTTTTCACATCTCTCTTTGTTGAAATGAATGAGAAAGGACCAATCAATGTTGAAGAAAAGAAAAATTAAAGATATATGAAGTATCTGTGTAACCCTATATTACCTATATGACCTCATATATGTGGAAACATCGAACCCAAATTTTTAAAAAATTTGACAAGTTTCAATAAACTTAGCTTTTCACTCAAGACTAACAAAAAAAAGAAAAAAGGAAATTGAAAATCAAATACCTGCTGTCTAGATGCTCAGTTGAATTTCCTTTCGTCATTGACCTTACGAGCAGTATCTTGGGATATAAATGTAAAAATGTTCCCTTTAAAAGGGAGAGTGAAGCATGCAGGTGAACTCGTTTGGCCTCTAAGAGGCAGGCTATATAAGCCAGGAATGGGAGGAAGCGATGAGGTGAGGTACATTATAATGGTCATAATAATGACTAGCTCAATGCGCGGCTAATCATTCACTCACACCTGCTCTAATAACATTCCCCACTATGAATAACTCTTTGAAATTCCGCATTTTCGTCTATTTCCTTGCATTATTGCCTATCTTAAAAATGGATCCTACCAAAAGCAGAGAGAGATGAATAAATCAGAAAAAAAGAACTTGAAGAAATTAAATTCTAGCTTTAAATTCAACCAAGTAGAATCTGGAACTATTGATCAACTTTACTTGAAGGAGAAAACAAGAAAAACAGTCATGAAGTTTAAAGAATAGATAAATTATTAAGAACTGACAAAGTATATATGAAAAAATGGAAGTAGCGATTTTTACACTTTACGTTAGCACTAATACATATATAATGTACATTTGAGGTCATAGAAATTTATTGTTCAACCATTTCGATCTTCCGAAAATGCATTCCTTTTTCAAATGTAATACAAACCCAAGTGAACAGTGAGAACAAATGGCTATCAATAACGTTAATCAAAGGAATAAAATTCCATGGGGAAAAATTTTTTTAAAAAAAGGATAACACTTTTGGACGCCTTTTTTCAATTTAACCTAGAAATAACCTGAATTAAAGAGTGAAACGAACCAATGCTACCTGGCACTTATAACGTGACAATATATTAGTGATAAAGTGTTTGGTTACCAAGGTATCATATGCATACAAAATACCTGACAACAGTAGTTAAGGGAATAGGATAAGAAGAGAGCGGCTGCGAACAAGAGGGAGATGGAGATGGAATTCATGCAAGTTCAAAAGATAAAGGGAGCATGCATCAACTTCCTACAACTATTTTCATAACTTTCATGTACCCAACACCTTAGTGATATATATACAAGTAATGCAGAGCAACCGATGACAATCATAACGACCGCAACGATGAATTGTCGTCTCCTAGACGACCCATCATGGAAACCAAAAAGACAAATATATAACTATTTCCAAAAAATCCGAAGAAACAAGAAGCCTATATGGAATTATGGTTATCTCCTTATTCCCTTCCTCTTCCTCCTTTTCCATTCTCTTCCTTCACTTAAATTTCGTTCAGGATATATTTTCCTTCGGGATAATTTAAAATTTTCCGAAATTAAAGCTAATGAAATGAAGACACTAACTAATAATTCTTACCAATTTTTCAGAATTAAAATCATTGATCCCTATCGATAAAACGCAACCATTCTACCCGCTAGACCATCAGTAACAGATTTCCACATATTCTTCAAGCAATTCTTAAAAATTCCTGAAAATGGCTGGAAAGTTTGCTAAGATGAAAAATATGCTCATCAATTTACATCAAGGATATAGTGATCCCTTAGGAAAAAAAAAGACTTCTGAAAATCATATACAATATCCCATCTAAACTTTTTCAGTTAGCAACAGTAAAATAAAACATTATAAAACATTAAATACCGATTGTATAGAAAATATCGTAATGTTTCATTCTTACAATCTTTCATGAGATCCAATTAGAAATTCTTCCAATACTTCGGTTGCTTCTCTAGTTCAAGTTAATCCTTAATCTTTGGAACTTCAAGGACGCAAATCACAACATCCTTCTAACAAACAACATTTTCAATTAACATCTATTTAAACTGAATATAAATTCGAATTATCTGTCATCACTATTAAATTTATGGTTAAGACAATTTTGAGCTGTCTTTAGCAAATTCAAGAATTTGTTCCTTTTTTAGATAACGGAAATTCGGCCATAACCCATTGAGAGCAATAAGAAGAGAAGAACTACTTTGAGAGAGAAATATTCTTATGGCTGCTTAGCTATCTTTAATCTTAACCGGATACTAATATTGCTGTTATCGTTACTGCCACTGCTTCCTTGGTTACCGAAAATTTTTGGTAAAAACTTCAGAGGCTTCAATTTAAGGCTCCACATATTGACAGGTAAACATGAACATAGATGCATACATGCCTCATAAATCACTTGGTAATGATCAAAAAAGTGGGAAGGAGAGATGGAAGGTAAGTGTAGTACGTTTATTCATATGTATATATGCACAAACATAGACACCACCAAAAGACTGGATTTTGAGGCAAAACAAGAATTGCTTTTTTGGATGAGGCCTTTAGCATGTAAAACTAGAAGTGAATAGCTCCACTAGCCAAACGCTTCACTAAAAAACCAAAAAAGGCTTTTTCTTCGTCCTCAATAACCAAGAATTGTTGCTGTTTACTATCTACTCTTCCCTTTCTCCCTTCTCCCACTTGTCATCGGTTTACAACCGCTTTAGAAAATCGACATTATTGTCACTGTTTTCAAATTCCATCATCAACCACGATAACATTACAGGATACATGCTTCGTTAAAGCTTAAAGCTTAAGCCTTTACACTCCGTTGCCTTAGCTTCGGTCGTCATCCTTGTTTCTAGGTGGATACATTCCAGTTGCTAAACAACAACCATCACAACCAACTATCTCAACCGATCAAGCTAACCTTGGAACGCTATTTCTGTCAATGTCACTACTGACGACGGTTACCATCATCACCATCAGCGCTATCATTTCTAATATCTTAGCACCATTTCTTTTTACTGTGAATCACATTTAGGAATTATCAAAAAAATGAAGAAATTGAAACAATAACTCTATAATCACCTTTTCCCACTTTTTCC